GCATGGACGGCCTCCTCGCCGGAGGCGTGACTTGTCATGAGGTCGAGCAACTCCCACGTTGTTTGTGGTTTGCAGCACCTGAGCTCGTGGATGAGTGCTTCGTTGGTCGTGCCGGAGATGAACGCTCTGATCACGTCCGCATCCATAATGTCGGGAAGCTCATTGCATTGCTTGGAAAAGCGATGGATGTACTCGCGTAGAGTTTCTCCCGCCCTCTGCTTGCAGGCCTTGAGATCCTAGGAATTCCCAGGGCGCATGTACGTGCCTTGAAAGTTTCCCATGAAGATGCGATTGAAGTTTGTCCATGAATGGATGCTGTTCATGGGGAGATGCTCGAGCCATGCTCGGGCACTTTCTGTGAGGTAGAGCGACAGGTACTGTATGATAAAGAGGCCGTCGTCCGCCTCGCCTGCTCGATAGGCGAGACAGAAGTCCTCCAGCCACACGGTGGGGTTGGTGTCCTCAGAATACTTGACAATGTTCGGCGGCACGTGGAAGCGCGCCGGGAATGGCGTTTGTCGGATCCTTTTTGCGAACGCCTATGGTCCATAGGCATCTGGGCTTGGGCTGCGTCGAGTGTCCCGCACCCTGGGGTATGGGCCATGGTTATCCGGGTCACTATCACCGTAGTGTAGCTGGTCTTTGCCCACCCGGTTGGGCCCAGGGCGTCTGGCGCCTTGAGTTGGGCGGGCATTGTGATTTCTGACATGATGGCTGCACGCTAGGGAGGGTTCCTGCCTGCGTGCTGTGCTGTCATCGTCCGATCGGAGCGCGCTCGGCGCATGGTGCCCTTCGGGGGGGGGGTCGTGTGCTGATGAGATGTGCACGAAGCTGGCTTCAGGATGTTGCCTCTCCACGGAGCTTTAGGCTTGCTGCACCTCTGCGGTTTCTAGCAGGTCCCGCAGCTCCTGATGGATGCGCTTTCCCTCATCGGTTGAGTGTTCAGGGGCCGTACGCATGATCATGGCAGCTGCTATGATGTTCTGGCTGGCACGAGGGAAGACTGGTGTATCCCTTCTGCCCTGTTGGATCTGGTCATAAACACGGCGCGCTCGTGCCCGCACCCCCTCAGCATCAAGGTGTTGAGGGGTAGGGCACCCGTGGTCATGGTGTGCTTCGGCCTGATCAGCTTCTCGTGCCCTGGCTTGCTCCAATAGCTCCTGGTCATACTCGGCTTGTTCCCTGGGGGTGCGAGGAATTGGGTAGGTGTCATCCTCCGTGTCCTTCGCCAGTGCTACCCCATCCTTCGAGAGGTGCAACATGTTGCATTCCCTCATCGAAGGGCAGCTTCCCTTAGAATCGGACTCAGATTCTGTGTTCTCCGGGGTTGCCAGTAAGAGGTCGTAGAGGGACTTCGGGTCCCGCTCCATCATCACCATGAAACCAGGGGAATCCGACATCATTGTGCGGCCATTGCATCTGGCCAGCTCTCGCTCAAAGAGAGCGATCGCGTTCCTCATCTCGAAGGGCAGTGGAGTGCTGGGGTTCTAGAATTTGGCCTCTGGCGGCAAGGGCCCGCCTCCGGAGAGTTGGGCGAAAGCATTTGCCAACACGTAAAACACGCGTCGGCTCAACTCTAGCTCGGGGGTCGCCCCGAGGTATGCGTCGATCCTGCATGCTAGCGCACCAGAATAGACGACCATGCCTCCAGCTTGCACTGGCCCATGATCAAGCGTTGAGATGTGCGGTGGAGCTGCATTCTCTTTGCTTAACCACAGCTAGCCCAGACGGTCGGCTACGAAGTCTAGGTCCCCAAAGCATAGAGCTTGATTGGGGATAAGACCATTGACAGGAGCTGGCCCATCAATATCGGCGAACTCAAGGCTTCTGAATCAGATGCGGTCGCCAAGGACTGCGCCAAGATCGAGTCTGATGCGAGTGCAGGGAGCCATCGCTTCCTTCTCAATAGTCGAGAGTGCGCGACTGTCCCCTACCTGGCGCGCCAACTGTCAGTGTTTCGTAAACTAGACTAGTAAATTTATACGATTGCCGCGTTGCTCTAGGAAGATGATGGTAGCATCCAATAGACACGAGGATTTATACTGGTTTAGGTCGGAGCCCTACGTCTAGTCTCAGAGAAGATCGAGTGCGTGTTCCTCGCTTGAATGCTCTGAAGTTCTTACAATGGGGGTGCAAGAATGGTGAAAGAGGTGGTAGAACCTATGCTAGACGAGGGGCAGCCCGAATAGAAGCTCCAGGAGCCCTACTGCTATGGATGGAATGGTAGAGGATGAAAAAGGTGAAGATCCCCGAGATGGGAGCCCTGGCTGCCCTTATATAGAGTTTGGGGCCAGGGCTTGTTACAAAGAGGAGGTTCCCCCGACCGAAAGGTTGAGAGCCTGATGGAGGTCCTAGCTAACTTGGCTTGCAAGCTACGCCGTCTTCTGGTGCTCGCCCGGGCGTGTCCGTCGTCATGGTCTTGTGGCCACGTTGCGGCAGAGCGAGATGTGGTGCTACTGTGCCGACCGTGGTGGGCACTGTAGGCACATCGGTGGTTCGTCAGCTGTCATGTGCAACACGGTGTCCGTCATGGTCTTCGTTGCCGCTTCTAGGTTCCCCGGGGTGTCGTACCCGTAGTAGGTAGCTGCCCCGGGTCGTCGTTCGTCTGGTCATTTCTCGGGACTGAGGGCCACGACCCCGATCGTCGGGGGCGGGGCTTTTCAACCGGCCTAGCCGGCCTCTACGCTGAGACCCTTGTCGTGGCTTCCATTCCGCAATGGGTACGACCGTATACCTGCCTGGTTGGGCCGTACCCGGTCGGTGGTCATCGTACCCGTCATTACCGCCTCGAGGCGATGTTGTCTTGTCCATGCAGCATGACGTAGGGTTGGCGTCTGACCGGGCTGAGGTGACTACTGTCACCTTGGTCCTTACGGAGTCAGTGCGACGTGCTTGCCCCTATCAGGATAGACGCGCTTGGCAAGGCGCGACCTCTTTCTATCTCTTCCGAAGGTCGTGATGGAGAGAGATCGTACGCCTTGCGAGCGTGGTGAGACCAAGGCAAGTGGAAGGGGTCGTGGATAACTCTGACCTCAGCGCTTGGCCTGACCTGTTTGGCTTTTGTTGGGCCTCGATCGTTTAGGCATTTGTCTGTTGTTGCGTTGTGAGCTATGCGGGCCGTCATGTAATCGATGCCTTGAGATACCCCGGGGTTATAACCCTGATAAAAGCGCATATTGCAAGCATATGTTTCAGAGGTATGTTGCAAGTGTTTCATGCGGATATTGCAAAAGCCGAGATATTGTACATGTTGCAATAGTTATATAAGTATGTTGCAAGCTTCTGTTCCCGATGTTTCATCCATGTTTTTTTCAGACATATGTTACAAGTGTGTTTATTTGGATGTTGCATATGTTTCACGTATATGTTGCAAGTGTTTTATCTGGATGTTGCATATATTTTACAATGATTTCCCAGTGTCTTTCATGTGTTTTTGTAAGTGTTTCAGATGAATGTTTCAAGTGGTTCATCTGCCTTCAAACGTATGTTGTAGTTGTTGCATTTGAATGTTTTAAAAGTAGATCGAGTGTTATATCTTCTTCTCCGCTTTCTGTTGCCTTCCTCGGTGTCTCCTCCTCCCCTCGACGCCGGCTCGGCATCCGTTGCCCCTTTCCCTTTTTCCTGATGCTGGTAACGTTGGAGGCGGCATGAGCCCCACGTGGGCGTGGGAAACGACGTGTCCGGACAGGGCGCCCGGACGGGTTCTAGCAAGCCCTAACTTTATTTGGCCGGTCACGACTCATCAGTATCACATCATCATAGGTCTCAAATATCTTGGTGGTCAGGCTGAGAGGGTGTTTGGTTCTTTAGTCGCTCCAAAAATTCATGTCACATCGAATGTTTAGATATTAATAAGGAGCATTAAATATATATTAATTACAAAATCAATTACATAGATGAAGGCTAATTTGCGAGATAATTTTTTAAGTCTAATTAACCTATTATTAGCACATATTTACTGTAGCAACATGTTGTCAAATCATGGACTAATTATGCTTAAAAGATTCGTCTCGTAAATTAGTCGCAAGTTATACAATTGAGAGAATTCCTTATTTGACACTGGGAAAATGAGTCGTTCCTTTCTTGGTTCTAAAATTTTCTTCGTTCCCTATTTGACACTCACTTCAACTTTCATCCCCAATTTGACACTACCGTCAAATCCGTTAGCTAACGGTGTTAACTGGCTGTTAAAAAGACGTTTTTGCCCCTAGAAAAAAAGCGGCGAAACAAATTTAAGAGGAAAAAAAACCTACGCCTGCCTCTAATGCATGCGCCACCGCAAAAAAAAAGACGCGTGTTTTTTTTCCTCTCAAATTTGCTTCACGCTTTTTTTTTTTAGAGACAAAAATGTCTTTTTAATGACCGATTAATCAATTGTAGCTAACGGATTTGACGATAGTGTCAAATTAGGGATGAAAGTTGAAGTGAGTGTCAAATAGGGAACAAAGAAAATTTCAGAGCCAAGAAAAGAATGACTTATTTTTCCAGTGTCAAATAAAAAATTCTCTCTATACAATTAGTTTCGTAATTAGTCTATATTTAATACTCTATACATATATCAAATATTCAATATGATAGGAATTCTAAAAGACGCCTGAAGAAAAGAACAGGCCAAACCCAGGCCACAACCACAGTCCAACAGCCTGTTTGTTTGACTATATCTTATCGTAAACGGTTATAAATTTTCAGCTAAAATAATATTTTTCTTTCACATAAATTAATCAGTAATACTCTTTACAAACGAGTCACGAAACAATATAAGCCAAACGAACAGGCTGCACGTCGACAGCACCGCCAGCCCGAGACCCACGATATTTGCGCTGCGCCTCGTCTCCGCGAAGCAACGCGGCCGCCGTGCCTTGCCTTGCCCCTTTCACAAAAGTACAAAACCATCAAGAAAAGCAGAGAAAATTATATATAAATTTATTTATTTATATAAAAAAAACAAAGAGGAGACGTCCCCTATCCTCCCTCCCCCGCGGCCAGGCCATCCCACCCCCATGGCCTCGGCCCCCTTCCCGCCCGTCGCGGCGTCGGCGGCCTCCGCGCCGCCGCGCCTGGCCCCGCGCCACCCCTTCGCCGCCGCCGCCGCCGCGCGCCGCTCCTCGCTCTCGTTCCGCCCCGCCGCGCCGCGCCGGCCCGTTCTCCTCCGGCCCCGCTCCTTCGCCGTCGCGGCTAACACCCTCCGCTGCACGCACCGCCGCGCCGTCTCGCCCAGGTGGGTGCTTCGGACCGTGCCGGCTCCAATTTTTTTTGGCGTTCATTCATCCGTCCTGTTGGCGGGCTCGCGTCGCCCCTCCGCTGACCCTCGTCGCCGTATTGCGTGCCTCGCAGGTCGAGGAGACGCGCGCAGGGGCTCGGCGCGGCGTCCGCGTTGGCTGCGTCGGCCTGGGGCGCCGGCGAGGAGAAGGGCGGTTGCCTCTCGTGCTTCCCTAAGAGCAGGCGGGGCAGGTCGGGGCTCGCGAGGTTCGCGCCGTGCGCGCTCCCGCACGCCTCGGGAGTATCGTTTCGCAGCCGGTTGAGCGGGTCCAAGGTTCGTTCTCATCTATTGCTTTGGAGGATCGACGGCTCGAGTGAATTATCAGATTAGGAATCAGGATGGATTGAGTGCGATAAGAAAGTACTTAGTACCTTACTTCCATGGCTGGCTAGCTTTTCTTCGCTTGCTTGCTAACTGTGTGTGTGAGGGATGCAACGGGCGTATCATCAGTTCAGAACAATAAATGCACGGATTGGAAATTCAACCTTTTTTTTTCTGCCCTTGTCAGTACTAAGTAGTACCAACGTGCTTTTTCTTGTCTTCAAAAAATTAAGGTTCCACATCTCTGGATTTTATCAAAGGAGCAATCACAGTTGTTAATATCTGGTAGGCTAATTGTTGAATTAACTTCAAAATTTGAACCTAGTGAGAGGTCCTGTGCAGTAGTACTGAGTATCAGTGTAACAAGCACCATTTTGCCTGGATAGTTTTCCATATCTCATCTATCTTGATGGTGCAGCTCAATCATGTTTGTTGCATTGGTAGCGTCATTTTGTTTCTGGGGCTGTCATATGTTTGTTCTGATGCACTTACTCCTATATCATTTATTAGAAAGATGAGTCTTTTTGTAAAAAAGAAGGAAACAGCAAGTTTACATTGCGTCGCAGAGTATAATCTGATCTCTTGTCCATGTCAACTTTGTGTCCTCTTAAAGGTCCCGTAGGATGTGGTCAGCCTTTTGCTGAATCATTTCCTTGATAATTTTCAGGTCAGGCCTAGCCATATATTGCGCGCCGCTGGACCTGATGAACCACATGTTGCAAGTCCAACATGGTCTGACACTTCCCTTGATACATCTGACATGGATCATGCTATTAGTAAGGAGGAGCTTGAAGATGTTCTCAACACGCCGCTTCCTGAGCATCCAAAACTAATTCGTGGGCAATTGAAGAATGGCCTTCGGTATCTTATTTTGCCAAATAAAGTTCCAGCAAACAGGTTAGGAAACTTTTTTTCTTGCTTGTATCTATTAATTTTTATGGCAAAGGACTTACTTTGTACAATTCGACCCTTAATTTTCATATAATGGTTGGAACTTTGATGGTTTTCTGTATTTTTTTAATTTGAATTTTGGAGATACTTGAAAGTTGACAACTATGGGTGGAGTCTTGAATATCTGAAATTCTGAACTAATGTGAAGTGTTTATTTGATTTGTTGAACATCAGAATTGTGTAATAGTAAATAAATCAACCAACAAATATTATCCTGATGCCCATTTCATGCTAACTGTGAAGCAACCAAACATTGCTATGATATATGTGGAGAATATGTGTATTATGGTTTCAACAACTAGCTATTTTGCAGGTTTGAGGCTCACATGGAAGTTCACGTTGGATCAATTGATGAGGAGGAGGACGAGCAGGGAATTGCACATATGATTGAACATGTCGCGTTTCTTGGCAGTAAAAAACGTGAAAAGCTTTTGGGGACCGGTGCGAGGTCTAATGCATATACAGACTTCCACCATACTGTGTTTCATATCCACTCTCCAACTAAAACAAAGGTCTTTATTTTTCTATCTTTTATTCAGTTCTTTGTGGAACTTATCACTGTCCATTTTGAAATTGGAAATAATCTTATGATAATTTGTATTTGTTGGAGCCCAATTTTGTTTTCTTGTTAGTGTCCTTGGACAAAAATCACGCGTAAATGGACTGAATAATGTATTTGTTGACTGTGAAGTTATAATTTTTAGAAGTTATGATCCTAGTTAGATGTGTTCCCTTGTGGTATTTATTTAATGTTTACATTTTAGCTTGTCCTCTATTTGCAGGAATATGGTGAAGACTTACTCCCTTCTGTGTTGGATGCATTGAATGAGGTAAAGTGTTACTAAATAGCATTCCTTTTTGGAGCGATCATCTGGAAAATGTCAATTTTGGTCATTTTATGAATATTTGAAATTCTGCATGTCCAATGAATACCTGAATTTTTAGGTCAACGTTGCCAGGGTGTTTGGAAATCTTTATAACAAATTCTTTCTATTGTAACACAGTTACACAGAATATGACAAGTCTGCCGATCTATTTTTCCAGATAGCTTTTCATCCAAAGTTTTCTTCATCTCGTGTTGAGAAGGAGAGAAGAGCAATTCTTTCTGAGCTCCAGATGATGAACACAATAGAGTATCGCGTTGATTGCCAGGCAAGTGAACTGTTCACACCGACCTATACCCATATGGGACTTCATTTGAGAAGGGCTATATCCTTATTGCTCCTGAAAACTCGTGCTAAATCGATTAATGTATGAGCGCACCATATTGGTATGCTAATTATAATTTGTTTGCTGCAGTTGTTGCAACATCTGCACTCAGAAAACAAACTGAGCAACAGATTTCCTATTGGACTTGAAGAGCAAATACATAAATGGGACCCTGATAAGATCCGCAGATTTCACGAGCGTTGGTACTATCCTGCTAATGCCACTTTATATCTGGTGGGGGAAATTGATGATATTCCTAGAGCTGTGCGGGAAATAGAGGTAATGAGAAAATACGCTGAAGTGTTTTTGATAATTTTGGCAGCCTCTAGGATCACATAGCAGGTTGATGGTTTGACTTGTTACAATGCAGGCTGTATTTGAACACACTCTTTCAGAAAATGAAGGAAACCTTGTACCGAGCTCTAGTCCATTTGGTGCTATGGCAAGCCTTTTTGCACCAAAGCTCCCAGGTGGCTTTGCTGCAAACCTATCTGGTGAAAAATCACCTGCCACAGATAAAATAAAGCCTGTAAAAAGGGAAAGACAAGCAGTTAGACCACCTGTAGAGCATAAGTGGTCCCTTCCTGGTGTTGCTCAGGATGCCAAACCCCCAGCAATTTTTCAGCACGAGTTGATTCAGAGTTTCTCTATCAACATGTTCTGTAAGGTATGCTCAAGTTTTGTTTCTTCTAGTCTTAAGTGATGCTTTTGTGGTTAAATTGTAACACCATATGTTTCGTTAGTAGTTCCTGTTACTTTTTTGGATTAACAAACCAATCAGCCTTTGGACTAATGCCTGCAAGTTTTGATGCCTTTTGCACCTTCATTAGCTGTATCATCCCTCATGTAAACAACGGCGCTTGCTGAAAATGTTCATGTTTATAATATTCGAATAGGACACTTTCTTAGGAATGCAATGATTGCATTTTCCTAATGTTGTTTTTCATTTGGACAGATACCTGTCAGCAAAGTTCAGACCTACAAGGACCTTCGTAGTGTACTCATGAAAAGGATATTTTTGTCTGCCCTACATTTTCGAATCAATACAAGATACAAGGTTTGTGATTATTCATAAGTCTTGATTGTTGCCAGTTGCATCTGAGTTTTTTTTTGTTACAACTGAATGAATTGTTTCCTGTTTGGACTCTATACAGAGCTCAAACCCTCCTTTTACGTCAGTTGAGCTGGACCACAGTGACTCTGGAAGGGAAGGGTGCACGGTCACTACTCTTACAGTAACTGCTGAACCCCAAAATTGGAGAAGTGCAATCAAAGTTGCTGTTCACGAGGTTTGTTTTCCGAATCTTGTTATAGCTCATTGTATTTTAGGTCTTGAATGAAATGTATATAGTCTTTGATTGCAAAAATGCTTTAGTGATATAAGCTTTGATCTAGTTTGGTACTAGAATAAACCTATTTATTCTGATCATATGATGACAGTCTTGGAAACTTTTACCATTTTGTCTGATTAGTGCACGTATAGTTCCTGTTTCTTTCTGCACAAGTAAATCGATTTAGGAACTACGACTTTTGAAAGCGAACAGATAACAAAGAATGAAAATGGATGATTTTAACCAAGATTATGCCAGCATGAGCCATACCCGACTCCAGCCAGTCCTTGAACCTATGTCCAGCTTGAAGCTCACTATTTCAGCCTAATGCTGGATATAATGCAAGCCCAATTGTGAATTAGCCTAATACTGCAGCATGATACAATCCCATTCTGGGGTTCAACCCATCTCAAACCTCCCTTAAGAACTTGGCACACGAGCAACTGGTGCCAAACCTAGCCCAAACCTGAGTTGGACCCAAGAACAGCTAAACCATGTTTGAACCAGGTCAAATCTACTCCTAAACCATGCTTTGCTTTCCTCAAGTAATATTCTGTTTGCAAGAGACTTCAATTGATGTATGGATATTACTTGGTAATGGGGTAATGACCACCATCTAGTTCTATCATTATGGCACTAAAGTTGAATTGGTTTTACATTCAATTTTATATGCAATAAAAATAAGTGTTTTGTCCTTTTTAGCAACATTTCTTTGTGCTATTTCAGGTGCGAAGACTGAAAGAATTTGGTGTTACAATGGGAGAAATGACCCGTTACATGGACGCCTTAATAAAAGATAGTGAGCAGTTGGCTATGATGATTGACAGTGTTCCCTCAGTCGACAACTTGGACTTCGTCATGGAGAGTGATGCACTTGGCCACACTGTCATGGATCAATTGCAGGGACATGAAAGTTTGCTTGGAGTTGCTGAAACTGTTACCCTTGAAGAGGTACTATCATTCTTTATTTGTATGTGCAAACTGCTGTAGGTATGATGGCATCACTCCAATTACCTCTGCAAAGGAACTATTTATGATACTATAATATGTGTTTGCCATACATAGGTCAACACTGTTGGCGCGGAAGTACTGGAATTCATTTCGGATTTTGGAAAACCCAATGCACCCCTTCCTGCTGCTATTGTGGCATGTGTCCCCAGAATGGTGCATGTTGATGACGTAGGTGAAACTGAATTTGAGATATATCCAGAAGAAATCACAGAGGCCATCAAGGCAGGTCTTGAGGAACCTATTTACCCAGAGCCTGAGGTATGTTGGTTAGTTTCCATTTCTCTTGGTTTGGAGTTTCTTTTGGAACCTCTGTGAACTAAAAACAGGATACTTCCAAGCAACATATGGTTTTCTGGGGTTCTGGGCTGCTGTTGGTTAGTTTCCATTTCTCTTGGTTTGGAGTTTCTTTTGGAACCTCTGTGAACTAAAAACAGGATACTTCCAAGCAACATATGGTTTTCTGGGGTTCTGGGCTGCTGATTGACTACGTTTATCCCTATTGCAGCTTGAGGTGCCAAAGGAATTGATCACCCAATCAGAGCTCGATGAACTGAAATTGCAACACAAACCGTCATTTGTTCCTTTAACCAAAGAGGAGAATGTGGTGAAAGTGTTTGACAGTGAAACTGGTATAGCACAACGCCGTCTTTCTAATGGAATTTCTGTCAACTACAAGGTAATTCCTCAATCGTTTGCCTCCTGTTATTCAGTGGATAGAAGAATCCTTTTCACATTCATGTTCCTATTTGCATGTAGTTAAGCCTGTTATCATGTCCCTTACAGCCTTTCTAAAAAGTTGGTCTATGATATCACAGATCACACAAAATGAAGCAAGGGTTGGTGTCATGCGGCTCATAGTAGGCGGAGGGAGAGCAACAGAAGATTCTGAATCAAAGGGATCTGTCATTGTTGGTGTTCGTACCCTGAGTGAAGGTGGCTGTGTTGGTAACTTTTCTAGGGAACAGGTATACTCTACTTATGGGATCTAACTTCTATCATGATACTGTAGTCTGTACTTCATCCTTACATTTGTTATATCTCCATACAAACACAAGAACCCCCTCCAGACACAAAGAAAGAGACATTTTGGTTACCTTTCATCTTCTGAATTTGAATGCTAATATTTGTTCAATAGTACTTATTATTGGTTGGCTGTTTTCATACTTCATAGAAGTTCATGGATATTGATTTCAGGTTGAACTTTTCTGTGTGAATAATCTTATCAACTGCTCACTGGAATCAAACGAGGAATTCATATTTATGGAATTTAGATTTGCTTTAAGAGACAACGGCATGCGTGCTGCTTTCCAACTCCTTCATATGGTCCTCGAGGTATGCTTTTTATTTTACTATACATAATACTCACCTGCCACATGGTGGAGAACTAGTTTTCTCGAAATAAAGGAGGTCTAACATTTATAAGATTTCCCCTTTTGTATTACAGCATAATGTGTGGCTAGAAGATGCATTCGACAGAGCAACTCAGTTATATCTGTCTTACTATCGCTCTATCCCCAAAAGTTTGGAACGTTCTACAGCTCATAAGCTTATGTTAGCCATGCTAAACCATGATGAAAGGTTTGTAGAGCCTTCACCACATTCGTTGCAGAAATTGACTCTTCAGTCAGTTAAAGATGCTGTCATGAACCAGTTTGTGGGTGGCAATATGGAGGTTTGTGAATGGCTTTTTCCTTCTTGCATTTCTTCTCTTTTCTCTTCAAGTGTTCTCGTTGACCTTTACTTGCTCCAACATATGTTTAATTAATAATTTTTTCATGTTTATTTGATTTTGTATCATTTTTTTTTCAGGTCAGCATTGTTGGTGATTTCACTGAGGAAGAAGTAGAATCTTGTGTTCTTGATTATCTTGGGACTGTGAGGGCTGCAAGTTCTCCAAACACAGAGGAGCGTATTGAAAAGATTTCCTTCCGACCGTTTCCATCAGATGTTCATTTCCAGCAAGTATGAAGTCCCGTGTGGCATCCATTATCAATTTTTCAATTTAGCATAAGTATTTCTAGTTCCACTGCTTTCTTTTGCTACAATAATATAAGAGATCATTACATTGTCATTACACTACTGATGTTAGTTGAGGCATTAATGTGACGAAATCATCGTTACAGTACTCATTAATTGAAGTGTTGATGAGGCATGGGAAAAAAATACATGCTTAAGGATTTTGATTTTCTTCAAGTTTTTTTTTGAACCATAACTCTTGAATCATTTTGCTGTCTTCCATTTATTATGCTCGTGCTTTGAAGACATGTTTGTTGATTGTGCTGCTTCTTCACCAGGTATACATGAAGGACACAGATGAGAGAGCCTGTGCGTATATTGCAGGCCCTGCTCCTAACCGTTGGGGATTCGCTACTGAAGGAAATGACCTATTTAATGTTATTCAGAGATCTGATGCTGATGGTAATTCCAGTTTGATATGTGCTAGGCTTGTAATTTGTCACGTAGTTGATTCAAAATATCTTACAGTACTCTTTGAGGAACTTCCTACTTATGTTAGCAACTTGCATAAATGTTTCTTTGTATGTTGGTTGATATTTTTCGTGCTATTTCAGCAGAAATATCTGAGCAAGTAAACTTGGATCTAACAGGGAAGAGACGCATCGATGTTCGCAGCCACCCTCTTTTCTTTGGCATCACTTTGAGTCTGCTTGCTGAAATTATCAATTCTAGGTAAAAATATTTCTATACGATTCTTCTGTAGATTAATACAGAGCTTCTTCAAACATGACAAAGGCCATAATCTATGTATCATCTATGTACCTTGGATAGATGAGCATATTAGTATATCAAGCTGTGGTTTGGTACTTACTAAACCTTAATTTGCTCATATAAATTGAATGCGCACATACCAGTTAATATGCCAGCCACACCATTCTTGACTAGAAGATCACATTATAGATAGTGTGCATGGTGATGGATAGTTTTGTTGGGTATTTAGCTGGCAGTCCTAACATAATGTGCTGCACTGTTTTATTGCCAGGTTATTTACTACAGTTCGAGATTCCATGGGATTAACATATGATGTTTCTTTTGAATTAAACCTTTTTGACAAATTGGATCTTGGTTGGTATGTGATCGCGGTGACTTCAACTCCGAGCAAGGTATTTTGTGTTTTTGGTCCCTACTGAATTCAAGTATTCAGTGTGCTTCCTACATCTGCCTTTCTTTTTTTTGAGCAATAAATCTAACCATCTTTAATTCCAGGTCCATAAAGCTGTTGATGCTTGCAAAGGTGTTCTGAGAGGATTACATAGTAGCCGAATTGTGGAAAGGGAGCTCGACCGGGTTAGTCGAACTTTGCTTGCCCTTTTCATTCTGTAGTTCATATCACAGAACCAGTACATGTAGGATTGGTGTGCTTATGGATCTATGTTGTCAGTATAATAATATTACATTTGGGCACATTAGTTTTTTGTGTAATTTCATTTAATACCTTTTTGGTTGAATACACATCTTAAAAATTAAATCATGCATCTCATAGATTAAGATACAACATTTTAGCTGTATAGTGTACTGAACTTAGAATGCATCTATACCATCTGAAATTCATAATTTTCAGGCAAAGAGGACGCTGTTGATGAAACATGAGGCTGAGACGAAGACAAATGCCTACTGGCTTGGTTTGCTAGCCCATCTACAGTCTTCGTCTGTACCAAGAAAGGTGAAATTCATTTATTGTTTATCATCTCATATTTTCAAGAACTAAGGACTAAGCTTTTCTTGTGCTGGCACTTTTTTTAACCATGTTGTGAACTCATGAATCATGATAGAAAATTTGTGATCTGTGAACTCATGTTCTAGCTAATTTTGCTAAATTGATGGTAATTTTGAATAGTTTCTGCATGTAACTTTGGAATCCTGCGGACCTGATACCATCTCTGGGGCATGCTATGACCAATGGCTATGACAAAACATAATCCTCTCTATAAAAGAAATCACAAAATTATTTATCAAAAATGTGCAGGAGAGCTCATGTTTGAGATATAAAGGAGTTTACAGCCACAAGTAATACACAAATAGAAGTTTTTTCAACTGGGAAACTAATATCAACTCTCACTGAGAAAGAAAATGAATCTAAAGCTATCTACTGGCCCAAAAACAAAATTACAGACTGCTTAATTTGGATGCATGTGGATAAAAATTCTAGGGCCTTTTTGGGATCCCCTTGGACTGCATATATTTAGATTCATGCTAATGTTTTCCCAGCAACTAGCAGAATGAAAACAGAAACAATATTGTAGGCCAACTGACCTGGCGCAGTTGCAAGCCTATCATGTGGATGATGTTAGGTAGTTGGTAACCTTTTTTGTTGGATTTTTTGGCACCTGTCAGCTTCCCATTCAGATTGTTTAAATCAGGTGGTTGCTCTTGTGGTTTCTAACTTTATATTATATAGTGGATGGAGATCTTCTGCATAAAGGGCGTACCCAGTGCAGAGAGCTCCCGCTCTGTGCGGGGGTCTGGGGAAGGGTGTTAGTGGCAAGCCTTACCCTCGCCTGTGCAATGCGAGGAGACCGCGACTCGAACCCGGGACCTTTATTATCCTTAATTATTAGCTTTAATACCTGAATTTTTCTTTTTAAAATTTATTGTCTCAATATCATTCATGTGCTCCAAACAAATGCAGGATGTATCATGCATCAAGGAATTGACGACGTTATATGAAAGTGCCACGATTGAGGATCTGTATCTTGCATATGAGCATCTGAAAGTTGACGATTCTTCTTTGTTTGCTTGCATTGGGATTGCTGGCGCTGAAGCTGGTGAAGATACAAATGGTAATAAGCTACTCATGCTAAGCTAATCTTTAAATATTATTTCCCGGACTGGGCTTAAACTTCAAATAAATGGCTACTATTATATCAAACTATATATATTTATCACATGAGAACGGTATTATTTGTGGGTGTGTGTTGTAAGGATTCTTTCCCATGTGTATATCACTTGAGCAAAACCAGTAGAGCACTCCATTATATGCATGCCATTTTATATCATTAGTTGCTAACATGAGGGGTAGGACCTTTTTCCCATGAAATTGTAGAAGCATGTAGGCCTACCAATTGAGGACCAACCTGGAGTGGGGTTTTTTGGGCTTGTTTTTTAGTCGGTATTATGTTATTACTTTTATCGAAGTTAATTTTATCCACTTTTTGTTGGAACTGCAGATGAGGAGCCTGATATGGATCTTCATGGCATGGCTCCCATGGGAGGCCGGGGGTTTTCAACAATGACCAGACCAACCACATGATCAGCATTGGGATGGACAAGCCTTCCAAGGTGAGACATATTAAATGCTTCTGTGTTACTGCACCATGGAAAAGATGTGCTGAAACCTTCTACTCGGAAATGGATGTGGTGATTAACCTTGCTCCTGAAGACAGTAGTCACATGGCCCTAGGAGACGGCATGTTGACTGCCGTTTCCCAGCAAAACTGTTTAAAGATCATTGAAGCGTTGGATCTAGATCAGGGAGACTATTATTTCCTATGAGCCACAACCAAAAGCTTGGTTGTTGCATTTTTTCCTGAGAAGTGTTAATGATTTATTATTTGAGGTCATGTAGCTTCACATGCACAGTAAAGCAGGTGATTCTTGCATACAGTTGTTGTAACTAGGTCGTTGAGGGCATTGAAGATAGGATGACAGTAGAATCACAGATAAGTTACTGGGCTGCGGATAGCATAAGGCATTTGTAACGAAATAGGCTTGTAACATTTTGTTGTTATTCTTTTGATCAAATATTTATAGCCTTTGTTACTAATAATAAATAGATCCACAGTTTTGATGCTGATTCTGCAAATCTTAACCTTCACAGCGTGCAGCCAGGTCATGATTCGTACTGCTGCTGTGTGGCGAATTTAACATTTGGGGTGTTACAATTAGAGCTGTACTGATGGTTCATAATAACTGGGCAGCATTACGTCGCTGTTCCATTTTCCTTTCACCACCAGTCTGTTGAATAAGGGCCTTGTGCCCTTGTTACTCGTGTAGTCATGTGCAAGTGTAAATGGAGTATCAAAGCTGCCGTTACAGTTAGCAATGTTTTTGGAGAGGTGGAGAACTGGAGTCTTTTACAGTACTGGTTTCACAGTATGGCTGCCACAATCTGTTGTCTATCGATTCCAGTAACCCCTCTGAATATTCGAACAAGGGTGGGAAACAGTCGAGAAAATAAAACCAGGTTGAGGGCCTGTTCGCTCAGAGGAATTTAGATGATTTAGATGATTTAGAGGAATTTGTGAGAGAAAAACACTGTTCCGAATGAAAAAAGAAGCGGTCGGGTTTAAGGGCACACGAACGGGGCCTGAACAACCAACTGGTACAACTAAAATCTTATATTATTTCCCTGGAACCAATGCAAGATATATGTTCATGTAAAACCAATGTCTTCTAACATAAAAAAGGTCTTCTAGCGTTCAAATTGAAGCATTTGTATCTGGGACCAAGTAATTTGAAAAAAGAAGACCAGAATCTACTAACAATCCAATCAAATTTCAAATCATCGGTACCTATGTACCATTCATCATTTCCTTTGGAAATTCAGCTTCATTATGGCAACACCGAACAACAGCGCAAAGAGGAGCCCAAATGCCACAACCCCCGCGGCGACCACCCCGAGGAAGCTGTGGTCGAAGCCGAGGTAGTCCCTGACAAAATTTGCCACGGTGGTGTTGGTAACGCCGTCAAAGAGCGGAGTATCGACATCATCACCATACTGCGACACTACCATCCCGTACAAGCTCCATGCGACAGGGCAGAGCCAATAATACCATCTCCACCAGATAGGAATTTTCTGATTGAAACATCACAGATGAGGTAGAATATTTAGTGGTCGTCATTCAAAAATGCAATACGAAGGTACAGCTAACTTACGGTTTGAGGGATCAGAAAACCAGAGAAGAGGTTCCATGTGGCGTGGAACGCTGCGGATACAATGGATGCTACGTTGTGGTTCTGTGTCAACCCGATCGCCATCATACCAAAGAATGTGAAATACAGCAGTGTGAAGTACATGAAGAAGAGGTTCCAGAAGAATTTAGCTACTGTCCATTTGAACCCCATCATGGCATACACTATGACACTATATATGCAAGTCTGAACCAATGTGTAGGGGAGCTCAATTAAAACCTGCAGGAGAGACACTGGCTGGTGTGACGCGAGATTCCCCTTTCAGGCACTACATGTTCTCTCAACCCATCAAAGGCAACAAAGTGTGTAGAATTTTTACCTGCCCAAATGCATACGGGAAAGCTGAGTACATGCCGGCAGCTCTTTCCCGGTAGAAGGCCATTCGCTCGACAGACACCACTGGCTGAACTGTTGCCGCGTTCAGCACACCCATGGTTAGAACAGCAGCATACATGGACCCCATGGCGTTGAACAGATCTTGTGGTTTCTCCCTGGATTAAGAGGCAAAGGGTAATAAGTGGCAACTTTCATAGGTGACACCAAGATCACATCATTTTTACTATGTACTGATGCTCTACAATGTATAGGGCTCAACCTTTTGGTGCCAATACCCCAGAAGATGGTGCCAAAGAGTAGAGCTATAACGGTGGTGAAGAAAAACCGGACAGCATTGTACTGCGGGTTCCTCCAGTAGGACAGGTTCTGCTTCCAGAGGCAAGCCAGACATTGTGTGAAGAAAGACCGTGAGTGCGTGGTGGAGAAGTGGAGATCGCTCGAACCTGCTGGTGGAGTACTCAGTTCATGTATCAAGACCTTGTTCCTCCTGTATAAAATAAAAAATTAGACATTACTGGTGCTGCTACAACTTGCAACAAGAAATTCCTTTAGTTGCCAGTCATAATAGCAACCAACTAGAAAAACAAAATACAAACAGTTCACATATTAAAAACCAAAAACTACAACTCTACAAGTAGCATTTATACACATATATACTAGTAGGGCAGTAGGTTACTGACTGGCAGAGTTCAGAATTCTTGTATATGTCACTAAAATCAACTCCTAGCACAAATTCTTGTGTAACTGTTGTCACTTCCAGCATCCAGGTCGCCGGATTATAACCATCTTCGATTTTGCTGATTCCTTCAATTTCCTGAACAAAATGAAAGATTATTTGATTTCGAAATTGCAGTGTAGAAACATTTGAATTCTTTTAAGTCGTATTTACCTCAAAATACTTGATCATTTCTGAGGAATGACGGCCTAGTGGACCAAAATAGATCTGTTCTCCACCTTGCTTCAACAGTAAAAGCTGCGTGAATGGAATCATGAATTCAGGATTCTTTGCATCATTATTCAGACAATCAAAAGTCACAAATACAATTGCTAATTGCCATAGTTTGATCTCTTCAAGCAGAAAAAAGAGATACAACATAGGAGAAACTAGGCGGTTTTTCATTAAGAAGAGAATAGACACCCAAATTCAAGCACAAAGAGGAACCTGGGTGGTTGGGTGCATAACCACACCTCCCACCCAACTAGTTGACATGCTGTTGTAGTGACCGCTATATTCAATGTTCCCCATCAGTCCCTCAACATTTCCTCCTGTAAATTTGTATGGTTTGCTTGGTTGGTATTGCTAGGGACTATTATTCATTCAAAAATAAAATTAATTATAATACGTCACAGGAACTAGGCATCTTTACAATTAAAGAAAAAACACCTAAAACTCAATTCCTAAAATATAGAACATGTCATTTGACCAAGGCTCACCTGTTCCCATGAGTAGTAACTAAGAAGAATATAGACTTATAGAGGGAATGAGGCCCATTGAAAAATAAAATTTCCTAATGCTTTAAGGCAATAGCTCATTTACCTCATCAAAGGCTTCAAATATGTCAATGCTTGGTTGATGAATTGTGCAGACGACTGTTCGACCGGTATCAACAGTGTTCCTCACTGTCCTCGTCACAATTGCTGCTGCACGAGCATCGAGTCCTGATGTTGGTTCGTCCATGAAAATGATTGAAGGGTTTGCAACAAGCTCTACAGCAATCGTCAACCTCTTCCTCTGCTCGATCGACAGGCCATTAACTCTAGGTAATCCAACAAGAGCATCTCTTACTGGTGTGAGCTCCACAAGCTCCATCACCTCCTCAATAAACATCTGCATCCCCAAATCATGGATGTTCAGAAAATAATAAACTAAAAGTGAGTGCTTATCAGATTCAGCTGACCTTTCTTGTCTTCGAACTCACATCCCCTGGCAGTCGAAGGAATGCCGAAAACAGCAGCGACTCGTGCACTGTAACATGTGGGGAGTGGATATCATCTTGTTCACAGTATCCTGATACGCGTGCAAATGTTTCTTGTTTCTTTGGATATCCAGAAATGCTGATACTCCCCTTGATGTATCCATTGGTCTTTCTTCCTGCCAGAACATCCATCAGAGTTGTCTTGCCAGCGCCACTGATGCCCATCAGGGCAGTCAGTACTCCTGGCCTGAAAGACCCACTAACGCCCTTTAGGATCTCCAATTTATCTTCTAGAACTTGTGTTTTCGTTTCCTGAAGTTTTCCATTGACAATTTTTCTTGTATACTTATAGTTCAAGAAAAAAGAGAAACTTGATAGTTAAAAACTTACAATTATTTGCTCAGTCCTATATAAAACTCACCTGTGGGACATCAACAGAGTATCTGATACCATCAAAAGTTAGTGAGTGTGGAACAAAGGGGAGAATCACCCCCCTTTGTGCAGACATATAATTGGTATCCGTACTAGCCAAACTCGTTTCATTGTAGCTGCCTATGTCCTGACAAGCACTTTCATATGACTGGCAATTACATCCAAATTCCTTCTCTTCATGTAATGACACATCTACAGTCATACCAGTCAAATTTGCATGTTTCTCCTTTAGTGTCTCTTCTGATACTGACGGATACGAGTGCCCATATGCTGTAAAACCAAACAAGACATACATACCTCTTAGCAAAGTTATCAAGCTATTTGGTAGATTCAAGGCATTCTGTAAGGCATTGCAGTTCCTTGTTTCAGTTCATACTGTAACTGCAAATAGTGTAGATCATGGTAATGTACCAAGTTTTGATCACTTAACAGCCCTGCCAGAAAGGTACTAGTTAGTAAATGAAGGTGTGCACTCACACTTGAGGTATGCAAGGCAGAGCGTGAAGAGAGAGTTGAAGAGAAGCGTGAATCCAAGCAATGCACCAAAGCCAATCCAGTACCACTTGGCTTCTGGAAATATTCCATGGGACTTGAGGATAAGCACACCAAGGGGTTCAGTCGAGCCTGGAAGGACCTTCTGCCAACTTTGTCCCAAGAACTCGTTCACTGAGACAGCATTTTGCGCATACATCATCGGAGAGGTCCAGTATCCCCAAATCCACCATTTGTTCATGTCTTCTGGAAGTCATGAAAGGAAGGGGCAACTTAGCAGCAAAAGCTGCAAAATGAGTTCAAAATCATGGAACAGGATGACGGATTTTTACCTCTAGAAAGAACAAATCCACCTAAAAGCATAACAACTAAAACTGCAAATGATCCAAAGACATATGCAACAATCATGTTTCTTGCTGCTCCTGCAATGAACCGGAAGAGGGAAGCTGCCATCTGATTAGCTGCTAAGAAAAGCAGATACTGCTTGAAAAGCCTAAGGATAATGAGACTCTGTCAGTCTGTCATAAAAAAGAGAGAATAGCATATGAAAGTGATTAAATACATAGGGTAAACATAGGACATGATTAATAAAACCCACCTGACTACATCTGGATCAAATCCAATGGCATAATAAGTTATGAAAACAAACCCACCAACTTCAAGAAATGTGATGGGGATCTTGAGAATCCATGATGGTAGAGTGTAAGTCCAAGCAGGATAGAAGAGGAGATCTCTTTGCTTGAAAAAAATGGGTAGCTTAAAAATGGTGAGGGTAAGCTCCGAGAAGCCATTGAATATGATCATGAGTGTTGTGAAGAAGAGTGCACCCATGTATATGCCTCCATTTGCCACAGAATCACGGTGCATTTTCGAACGGAAGAAGAGTGTCATCTCAATGACTGATAACAGGATCAGCTGTGTTGCCAAACGAACAAGTAGACACAGTTGTGTATTTGGTTAAGTAATGAATGTAACAAAGCATAGCTAGTGTTAGTCATCATTGGCCATGTTATCAACACTTAAGTTTTCATTATATTCATGGCATTTGAAACCATAAGGCTTCATTATCAACGTGGCAATTTTCCACATTTTCATAGGAATTGTGCTTTCATTTAAATTCCTACATTCCAAAGACACTGAAAACTGGACATTCCAACTAATAGGAGCATCCCAACTTGCTAGTTGGTGAGACATTCAACAAAGGAAATATGTTTATGCTAATTATGCTTTATCTTAGGAAATCACCCTCCTTGCAGGTTATTTAGATTTTAGCCAAATATAGCTATTGGCTTTTAGCAACATACAACACTGAACGATATATTATTTGGTAAGAAGAGAGACAAACTGCTCATGTCAGTGCTGCATAAATAGTATTTTCATTTGAGCCAATTCTGAAGTTCAGGGGCCAATTACCTGTACAACTCGAAACATGTAGAAAAATGAGTTCCTTTTCATTAGCAGAATCTCCCGATCGATGTTGGCTTTCAGCAGCTCTTTTGCACTTACACCGTACTTTGAGGTTACCAAAGCTGAAGGGTGGTTCATGCTCTTGTCGAATGACACGGAAATCTCATTTGCCATGGCCTGTCCAACACGGAACGAGCGAAATGAATCTGCAAATTCCTTCACTGAGATGTAGCAGTAGGTCTGGTCGTGCTGAGACCAGTACTGCTTCTGATCCTTTTTTGACGTCACCTACTCAGAGTTAGCAGATCAACAAATATATTTACTAAGAGTTATACATAAATGTAAGTAGCAATATCATGGTTCAGTTGGTCATACTTCTTGCAAGAAATCAGCGGCACCCTTTCTGTCAGGGCATCTGAACCCCATGGACTCAAAGAAATCAAGAACATCCTCACGGGGCCCATGGTACACAATCTGGCCATCTGAGAGGAGTAGGATGTCATCAAACAAGTTGTATGTCTCGGGTGCAGGCTGTAGCAAGGAGATGACTGCTGTTCCACTGAGGATGTGAATGGCCTGTCTGAGAGAGTTGATAATCTGGAATGTTGTGGAGCTGTCAAGCCCATTGGAGATCTCGTCCATGAACAATGCTTTCGCTGAACCAACTAATATCTCACCTACAGGTTGTACCAAAGTCAAATACCACCAGGCAGTGATTATTATTGTTTCTAGAGGACAAATGAAAATTTCAGAGTTCTGAATCCAGGACATAATTGTTGGTTGTTATGTCTGTACCTGCAGTAAGACGTTTCCGTTGTCCTCCAGATATACCCCTGAACATCTCATCCCCTACCATTGTGTCTGCGCATACCTCTAGCCCTAATATCTACAACAATGATTGGTAAACCTAGACCATGTAAAATTCAGGCCATTCAATATTGCAAACTACAAGTAATCTCCAATTTTCACCTTCAACATGTACTCCACCACCACATTAGCTTTATGCCCTCCCAGTGCAGCTGCCTGAAATGAGCATAACAATTTTAGTGCTCCTGTTCTGATTGGTATTCATGCAAATGATTAGAAGCATAAAAAACTATTTATGTATGCATGATTTTCATATGTCATACCTTCATGAAAGCATCAAGGTCAGCATCAGGCTTAATGTTTGCCTCTTTCTCTCGCCTTAACAATTCACACAATAAGTCTGAGTAACAGAAATACAGTACCAATCAAGGAATTTGTAAGTACCAGCGGTATTTTTATTAGGCAAGTCTATGTGTGATTAGCTATGATTAGCACCTGCTATGTATACTTGATTGTATTCCTTGTATACCCAGCCATATTGGCTATATATATGAAGGTCACCCCCCCATATTGGGTGTGAGGTGGGTGTGAGGTGTGTCTCTACAGTTTTCTATTGTGAGAGCTTAATTGTTACATCATACCGTAGAAATATCCAACTCCTTGGCACCTTGCAGAGAAGGCAAGTGTTTCCCGCACAGTCATCTCCCCTATGTGAAGATCATGCTGGTTTACGTATGCAGCTGTCCTTTGGGGCACAAAATCATCCATTTCATGCCCATTGCAAGTGACTTTTCCTGAAACCTGCCAGAAGAGGAATTTGGCATGTGATTATAGCGTCAATGCCTAACCTAAATAATGCCTAAGGATAATGAATGGTTCTTAGTAGATTGAAAGCACAGCCAAATATACTTTCAGCAGTTATATATTCAGTAATTAACAAAACCTAAGACCTGGCCTAAAAGCTCTTTTCTTCATACATAAAAGCATAATTTCTCCAAGGCAAAGCATTTGGCTGTATAAGTAAATGCACAATTTGTATACCTTAAGACTCTTGCCTAGCCTCCCAGATAATGCAAGAAGCAATGTGGTCTTCCCTGATCCTGGTGGGCCTAGAAGCAGAGTCATTCTGCAGAACAGCTAGAGCAAGGTGAATACAGTGAACTCATGAAGAACCCGTCCATTCAAGAAGAACAACATATACCTCTGAGGCTTGATGATGCCGCTGATGCCATTGAGGATTGGCATCGTCTGCTTCCTGCTGGGCAATATATGTAGGGTATTTGCAGCTCCCTGAACGAGAATTCAAAAAGTCTCACACCATACGAAATTTAAGCAATATGAAGCTCAGGGATTAATATTGTTGAAATTCTAGTGCTGCATACACTGTACGGGGGGCTAATAGATATACCTCGAAAATGTTAGTGATTGAGTTTAGAATAGTTGGCAGGCCCCTGGTTCCAATGTGAACTTCAGCATCGACCTTCAGATGCTCGAAACGCACCTCAATTGTCGGAAGAACAATCCCAACTCTACAATCAAAATATGGAACAGAAGCATTAATTGCATCTTATATATTCAGTCTAATGGCAACGTAATAAAAACGTCCCTTTGTCATCCCTTCAATATATCCTTTCTGTCATTTTCAATTAGTCCTTGTAACCACACAACACAAGCTCCTATACATATGCAGCAATGCAGTTTTGTCGCTATATTTAACTAAAAAAAGGCAAATAGGTGCGCGTTGAGAAGCAAAATAAAATGCAACAATGCGAGGAAATCTTACATCTTGGGTCAGCTTGCATCGAAGAAGAGTGCGGCAGCGTGCGCTGTACAATTTCTATGTCGCGGGATGAAACCAAGCGCGACGAAAAGCATCTGGTAAAGATGAGCCCATCGACTCGTCTCCAACACCTTCCATATCTTGTCAGTCCATCTTCACATACTCATCTGTCGCCCGTAGACGACGAAGACGATGGGTATGGCCGCCAGTCGCTTAGGGCCGTGCGGGTCAGCGGGTGAGGTGGATGCCTCCGGGAACGGCCGTATTTACCGGTTCGGAACTCATAGGGCGAGGAGGTAGACGTCGCATCGAGCGAGGGCGACCTCAGCGGAGGTGAGCGCTAGGACGGCGGCGGCGGCAGAGGGTGTCCGGCAGCCACGTTGGAAGAAGACTGAACCGAGAATGGCCGGCCTGGCCGCCTGGCCGCCTGGCTCAACCAGTTCAACTACCAGCAAATGCGCCATTTTTTAATAGAAAAATATAAGAAAAAAAAATCTATACTATATGTACCAAACCCAATAGAGGACTTGAGCAGGCTATCACGAGACAAAATATTTTCTTTTAAAGAGATTTGATTCGGAACTTTTATATGTCCAAGGTCAATATAGAATATATATAATTTCTTTTTAGAGATTTTTTCTTACTCTGTCTAGGTCAACAAACAAATCGAAACATCTTGACTTTTTTAGAATAGGTCATCAAATAGTAATGATTCGAAGCCCTTCTTTTTTCACTACACTATTTTGGAAACCCAAGGACTTGATCGAATGGATATGGAGAATACAGGATTTCGGTCCCTAACAGGAAAAGGCGGGAAACACGTACTCAATTTAAAGTGAGTAAACAGAATTCCATACTCGATCTCATAGATCACTATAGAATTATGTGGAAAGCCGTATTTGATGAAAGTTGTATGTACCGCTTGGAGGGAGATCTTTCCTATATTTTTCGAGATCCACCCTACAATATATGGGGTCAAAAAGGCGAAAAAACAAGTGATTCATTTTTTGCCCTTATAAAAAATGAATTCTTGAACTTTTATCCTTTGTATAAGAGCATAACTTTAGTTCAAAGAATACACATCTCTTTTTGTGTTTGTAGGAAACTAAACTAGACCTTCTAGACAGTTCTATGGTTCGTGACATGCTTGGAAGCCAGTTTGGCATTTGCTATTTCCAGTTGCGTCGTCTTATGGTTGTGTCATGTTAGCATGGCATTTTGATTTGTAGACAATGTTCAACACTATGCTTGGTCGGTGGTACTCGGTTGGATCCAAAGTGTCAGTCACCAGTTAGTGAGATGACATAGTGGTTGACAACAGTATATGGGCCATAGATAGATTTGGATAAGGTCACTTTTCTTCAAGAGCTCCAAGACCGGCTTTAGCGACCTTGGCTTCTTTGGGGGGATTGCAACATTATCTATAGGAAGGTGAACAAAAACAGTGAGCTTCTTACCACTGGGCAATAGGTTAATTCTGATGTTTCATAGAGGATCTTGAACTCCTTTAGCTACACCTCCATGGACATTTGTTTACATAGAGTAATGAGTACCATCACTCAACATTGGAATGCATTGATCGAGTCTTCACCACATCAAATTGGGTTGACAAATTCCCAAACCATATGCTATGGGTGGCATCGTCTAACCGCTATGATCATGTGCCCCCTTGAAAAACAACATTGTTTCACCTGCGAAGGAACATTTTTGTGTTGAGTCCATATGTCCAAAGTTCAAGGGATACCTTGAAGCGGTCTAGGAGGGATGAAGTGTGGAGGTGGACTATTCCAACCCTGTTGCACTTTGGATCAATGACTATGAAACAATTCCAAAGCCCTCCAATGTTGGAGTAAAAAAATTCATGGGTAGTATAAGGCTGCAACTCATGATCACAAAGGAGGTGGTATTCAAGTTGGGCATTGCTCAAGAGTCTAGGCCACTGAGCGCTGACGAGTTCCAACTCTATAAGGAGTTGAATGGTCACTATTTGGGTCTAGCATCACTGCAACACGATAGCTCATCAAAAGCCGTGTTTGTTCTTTTTTGCCAATGGAGATGTGAACATCAAATTCTTCCACTTAAAAGCCTTCCATCATTACCGGCAGAACTGCATTAAATTTTTCGGAGTCGATGGGCTTTCGTTGGTGCAAGAAGAAGAGAAGGTAGATGAGGCTTTATCACTTCAACGAGTTGCTTGGTACCCCCATGTATAGAAGTTGTGTTTGCTGCCCTCATGTTTCCTTGCCATGATGTCAATCTCTCTTTCCTTGGGTGTTTGTTTCTTCGGAGAAGAGATCTAGTGGGTCATTAGGACATACAATAAGAAAAAAACACCAGGGTCAGATGGTTTCACTGGCCTCTTTTATAAGACAACTTGGTTAGTTACAAGGCTGATGTCATGAACGCCTTCCATGCTCGCTGGTCGCTTGATGGGAGGAGCTTCCACTTGATTAACTATGCCCTTCTCATCGTTTTAAAGGAGAACAAGTTAGGCATAGGAAATCAAGGCCTACCGACTGATAAGACTAATCAACAACTTTTGGGAAGCTTTTCTCTAAAGACTTGCAATACAGTTCGCTCTGGTCATGGACAAGTTGGTTCATCCCAACCAGAGCACATGCATCAAAGGGTTGCTTCGTCTTTTGGCTTGCCTTACATGCATCAAAGGGTTGTCTAGACTCTAGACACGCTCGTGTAAATGTTTTATTTTGAGAGCTGTCTGTTTACACTAAAATGGAAAACTTATCATCAATAGCCATTTTTAAAACAATATTTCAACTACACCTTCAGATCAATAAGATAAGATATACTTACACATACATGGGCCAACTATGTCTCCTTTTGTGCCTCTTCTTCTTCTGCCCTACTTCATGACCGTCGACACGAACTACTTGGCACCAACACACCCTACCTCCTCTAGCACCTTCCAGCAATCTCCTACCACAGTTGTTTGCAGTGCAGCCTCGCTAGAACTTCGTCTTGCATTGGTACCATAGTCCATACATAAACTCAATCATGAACCTTAAGGGCGTCAGTTCACCACAATTTTTACTTACTCCCCTTGCGTCCTTCAAATAAATTGCTTCCAAAATGAGATAGTTTTCCAAATCAGGAGGTCTCTTGCTTTAGTAAAATGAGAGCCCTCTAGTTAGCTTCTCTTAACAAATTCCAATTTATCTTCAAATAAATCAAATATGGGTAGTTTGGATCCTTTTATTTTGGAGGAAATATAATCTACTTAATGGATAGGCTATTTGGCTTGGAATTTAAGATTGCACAACTTTCCAAAGTTCAATATAAGCCCATCCCAAATTTATAGGGTGGAAGATGAAAATGAATTCTATAGATCACCATGCTATGTTTCTACTCTTCAATTTATAGCACGCTCTTTAACTAGCTTCTCTATAGTAGAAGTCCAACATATAAACATCTCTCTTGCATGGCTAACAATAGTATGCAAATATATTCCATATACAATCATATTAGGTTATGGTAAAAAAACAATCATATTAGCTTAATTAATATGTGCCTAAATTATAATTTATTGAAATGAATTCAATTTCAAGGATCTAAACGGGGCCATTAAGGATTTATGCTTTAATATATATGGATTAACTTGTACCACTAATTTCTGTACAATTGTCTATTTTTTATGAAACAAAACTTTCTACTATTGCCAATCTTGACATTTGCCGATCCAACTCACTTATTCGGAGGTGCTCATCGTAGTGGTAAGATGTGCTTGCGTACATTCATGGTAATCCTTGCGCATTTGCACAAGGTCTCGTAAAAAAAAATCCAACATAGTTGGATGCTTACAAAAGTAATCCTTGCGCACACACTATGAAACCTTAGCGGAGAGCACAAAGTGGAGATATGGAAAATAAAGAAAGAAAGATTGGCCTCCATAGCAGTCAAACCAAAAAATAAATCCAAACGGCCTTGCCAATGCCACCACTCTCGTTGTCGTCCCTTGCTTTTCCATCCCTCACAGCTCAATCCCATTCCCATCCATGCTGCTGCCCCCGCCTCTCAGTTATATTATGTATTTATTTTTTTATTCTTCACTATGTCTATCTCGTCATAGCTGATGTCTTTATAAAGACATTCCGATCCCGATCAGGACAAAGTGATGCCTTCTAGCTCGGACTTCCGGCACGATCATGGATCCTAAGGACCAATGTCAACTTCTAACAAGATGTAATAAATGATGTGACGGTCCTACTATAGATAATAGCTACTATCCGCTAATAGTTATCTCTTTTGGATCTAAACAAGTGCAGCTAATAAAATAGCTAATCATTAGTTGGATCTCTAGACATACTAGCTCATTAGATTGATCAAATCAGATAATAACAGCTAATAGTTATCTTAGTAGCATTTTTTATTAGTTGTGCATCCAAACACCCTCCGGTTAATAGGTAGCTAATTGTTAGCTAGCTAGTATTAGATATGAGCTATTAGCCAACTAACTATTAGCATATAATGAAATCCAAACATGGCCTATATGTATCTTAGATTTCTCCTCATCATGACAAAATTCCGATGGATCCAACAAACGTCAACCAGGTACGGTTGGAACAAGATCCTTGCCCACCGAGGTCGGTCCAACTACTAGACGTCCCTCCCAGCCTCGTGCCAACATCTCTGGGTTATTTTTTTTTCATTAAAACAAATCGTTCGCAATCGCAAAACATTTTTTGACAGCTACGTACGCGAGCAATGGGGTAGACCTAACTTTATTCAAGAGTATTCAGCTAAATACCTATAGTTTTCTGGTAAATACATATAGTGTACAGTGTATACATACATGTGTAATAGGAAAAACGAAAATAGAGCTAAAATAATTAATAGGGTATTCATGAATTGAGCCAAAACAATAGCCACTTCGTACTCTCTTTCAGACTCGTCATCTCAGGCCTAGTAGACCAATTTTCTTCAATTCCTTGTAGCTCGACGCTTCACCTCCTCTCTATCTCTCGATTCTCATTCCAAAAACCAAACCCTAAACCCTATACAAAGATGCGACGTGCCATGGGTTGTGCTTAAGCCAAAGCAAAGACTACCATGCCATATTGGTACGGCTCAACATGCCTCATGTGCCTAGAGCCTAGAGGTCACGATCTGGAATGGAACGAAGGACGAGAGGACCGTGCCGGTCTAAGTCCCACCTCTATTCGTGGCCCTGCCAATGGCACTGTAATCGTCCGAGCGCGCGAGTGCGATGTAGAATGGGAATCAAGAACACAGCTCCAACGACATCCATGACGGAAGTCATCAGTCGAATACAATTAAGTGGATGAACAGGAACTCTCTCTAGATCTCTCTCCGCTAAGAAATCTGAGCGCCAGCTCGAGCACACGATCAAGCGAGAACAATGAGCACGCACGCGTGTATACGTACCGGTCGATGCGTTCCCTGAGCCTGAGCAGGAACCCCTCGTTGTCCCGGTCGACGGAGCCCACGAGGCGGTCCAGCAGCGCGCGGCGCTGCGCCAGGCCGAGGTCCCCGACGTCCACCACCGCCTTCCCGCAGGCGCCATCGTCGACGATCGCGCTGCGGGCGCGTTGGGCCGTGGGCAGCCGCTCCAGCGCCGCCCAGAGCCGCACCTCCTCCGCGTCCTCGTCACCGCCACAGCAGCCAGCACCGGGCCTAGTGATGGTGGCGCTGTGTGGTGCCGCCGCCGCAGCGTGTGCCATTTCTGTTTCCGCCGACGACTCCATATCGGCCGCTTCTTTTGGTCGGTCGGGCCACGGCAGGCAGGACGAGCTGTATATAGAACCAGGCGGAGCCTTGGTTCTTTGCTTTTCCCGGCGGAGCCTAGGAGGAATAAACTAGCGACGCTAGCTATGTGCAGAGGAGGACAGCATTATATTGCTGCAGTGTGGTTTTTTTTTGGAATTCATCGATGCTACTGTAAAACCTAGCAATGAATTTGTTACCTACTGGACGTCCACGGAACCCCATCGCTTCTGAACGCAGCTAAACTTTACGGCACGACAAAAGAAGAAGAAGAAGAAGAAGAAGAAGAAGAAGAAGAAGAAGAAGAAGAAGAAGAAGAAGCTAGATATCCATTCGCTCGCAGCATGTATGGGAGAAAACACAAGCAACTCTAGATTCTAGAAGCTGAGAGTCAGGACGTCAGGTCCGAGTCCACTCACAGAGCGCACCGCATAAATAGAATAGAACATGACTAACATTATCTCATATCAGAAACATAAGATAAATAAAAACACATTACACAGGTAAATGACGTCGATCTCAATTCTCAAATTGTAAGCGTCGCAAAACAGGAGGACTGAGATATAAAGCAAACATAACTAGCTCAAATTCAACACAACGGTATTCATTTTCATGTCAACCCTCAAGACTAGCTTGAGTAATAAAATAAAGTAGTCTCTAAAAGCTTAGAGTACCTAATATATATGCTGATGGTGTAGGATTGCAAGTTCAGGACAAATTTAACCAACTGAAGCTAAACATAGTTTTTTTCTATAAGAAAAGAAGAAAACACTGCACATATTCCAATCCATAACAATTGGCAATCAAATACACATGTTCAAACATTAGGTTCCATGGTACATAAGCAGCAACATATCACATGATTAGTGCTATACGCAGTTGATGGTCCAGGTTACATGATTAGTATTTAGTATCAGTCAAACAAATACATACCATGATCGTTTACTTGTTTACTACTACTTTGATTAAGATTCAGGTAAAAAACAATAATTAACCTAGATGGCAGTTTCCATATATTACTGGTCACGTGCCAGCTTCCGAACCTGAATCTGGCACCAACTAGGGAAAATAACTTTCACAGCTAGTACGAAACAGTGTACAGTGCCACACCAAAGATATGCAGTTAAATAAACAGCACCAGCAAAATTACTGTTAATAAAGTGGAAAAAGAAGAAGAGGGCAGGCATCGCTAGTAGCTCTTCGCTTCGTAAATCCAACGAACATAGACAAGAATTTTCCATTTCGAATCCATCATCAAACAGATGCGCTAATTAAGCACATCCGTTATCAAACAAATGCGCTAAATACTGGAGGCAAACATCTAGATCAAATAATGGAATAATTTATCAAACAAATGCGCTAAATACATCAATTATCAAACAAATGCGCTAAATACTGGAGACGCAACATCTAGATCGAATAGTAGAATAGTTGAAAATAAATCGAACAGCCGCCACCATGGCCAGAAAGTACATTATATTGCATTATTGCAAGAAGCACGAACTCAGCCTTTTACATTAATAAATGTTCAGGAATACTCAAAACTGCAACAGAAATAGTTTTGGAACATCGAACTAATGAGAGATGGGAATCAGTTTGCACAATGCCGCCTCCGAATCAAGGAGACAAACATAGTGACATTATTGATGAACATAAAAGAGATGCAGAAGAAAAGCTAGCTTACTCTCACTCCATCTACCGAGGTTGTAATATCTATCGATCTGAAGCATGAACTGCTGATCGATCAACATCAACTCCAACCAAGGTCCACACAGGAGGTAACCACCGAGCCTATGTTAGCTAATCTACTACCACCTTGTGTGAACACAGCAGAGGAAGACGGCGCCGACTTAGCCGTCTACTGTGTGTGAACACAGCCAGGGAAGGCGGCGTCGACTTTGCCCCCTGCTGTGATACAGTAGCCGCTGCAGGTGCAGGCGCCGCACGGCTCACCTGCAGCACTGTAGGAACAGGCAGTGGCCGGCGCAGAGTCAGCCCTGTCAGGTTATCTAGTTACTGTGCCAGCATGGACGCTGCACATGGACTAGATAATTAGAGTTGTATAAATAGACATATATGGTAACTCAGTAAAGAGAGCTCAGATTTGTCATCACACAGACAGGGCCTCGACCAACGCTGTTGTCTTATATTTTACGTGCTTGCTCTGTTCTCCCTTCTTCTCCCAACTCCGTCCGTAGTGTGTGGGTACGGACAACGCCGGTACGTGGTCTACACGGCTAGTGGGTGCTCGGCAACACTAGCGCGTGCTCGGCGAGACCGTCAAGTGCTCCTCTCGCCTGAGCCGGTGCACGGCGAGATCGGCTAGAGTGGTTCACTAACGTGAGCCGGTGATCCTGTGAGACCAAGGGTGGTCTGGAGGCTATATGTAGTGGTCTGGAGGCCATCTCGGTGGTCGGAAGGCTAACTGTGGGCCAACAAGTGGTATCAGAGCCATACAAGCGCCGTCGTCATTCTAACCGATGGCGATGACAGGCGGTTTGGAGTTGGGCGACGGCAGTGGCACTGTCGTGGCTGCCCAGCCACTACCGGATGTAGTTGTTCGCACGGTGCGGGAGGTCAGCGGCACCACTTGGCCAACGCTGACTCGCACTAACTATGGAGAGTGGTCGGTGACCATGAAGGTCAAGCTCAGAGCCCGACGGCTCTGGAATGCTGTTGACAAGGGCACCGGCGTGGAAGAAGACGACATGTCAGCGTTGGAGGCTATCCTCGCTGCTGTACCGGCGGAGTACAGGGAACCATTGGGGACGAAAGGCTCAGCTAAGGAGGCGTGGGAGGCCATTACGGCGACGCGCGTCGGTTCCGACTGCGCAAAGAAGGCGACGACCCAGCTTCTAAAGCAGGAGTACGCAAACCTCAAGTTCAAGGATGGTGAAACAGTGGAGGACTTTTCCCTCCGCCTGCAGACGCTCATCAGCAAGCTGAAGAACCACGGCATCACCATCGACGAAGAGGAGGCGGTCTCCAAGTTCCTCCACTCCATGCCGGCAAAGTACATCCAGATCGCTCTCTCTATAGAGACGATGCTGGACTTGTCCACCCTCACCATTGAGGATGTGGCAGGCCTTCTGTGGGCGTTGGACGAGCGCCTGGGACAAGTGACAGCAATGAAGGACAGCGGGAAACTCCTGCTGACGGAAGAGGAGTGGGCCGCTCGGCGAAACTCCGGGAAGGCAGCCTCCTCCAGTCGTGGTGGCAAGGGCAAGCACCGTGGCAGGGCTTCTTCGGAGAAGAAGCAAATCGATTCCAACGCTTGTCGGTGTTGCGGGAAGATGGGCCATTAGGCACGGGAGTGTCCAAATCGCAAGAAGGAGAAGAAGGCTCAGGCTCACTTGGCAAAAGCCGATGATGAGGATGAGGCCACTATCCTTATGGCGATGTTCTGTGCACTGCACGATGTCGAGGCCATGGAGAGGGAAGAGGCGACAACGGTGGAAGGATCTAGCAAGGCCCTGAAGACCGTCAACCTTGACGAACCACGTGCCCAAGTCCATCTCGGGCGTGTGGGCGTCGACCAGGAGCAGCGGTGGTATCTGGACTCTGGTGCCAGTAACCACATGACAGGCTCCAAGGACTCATTCTTCGAACTCGACAACGATGTTACCGGTACGGTGAAGTTTGGTGACGGCTCAAGGGTGGCTATCCAAGGGCGCGGCACCATCATCTTTAGATGCCAGAATGGGGAGCACCACGCACTAACGGATGTATACTACATCCCACAGCTGCGCTCCAGCATCATCAGCATTGGCCAGCTAGATGAGCGCGGTAGCGAGGTTCTGATCAAGGACGGTGTTTTGAGGATCAGAGACCGGGAGCAGCGACTTCTTGCCAAGGTGAAGAGGTCCCTGAACCGGTTGTACCTGCTCGACCTGAAGGTAGAGCAGCTGGTTTTCCTGGCGGCAAGGCACTCCGAGGAACCGTGGATGTGGCATGCCCGGTTCGGACATCTCAGCTTCGACGCGCTTGGTTGGCTGGGGAACATGGTCCAAGGGCTACCCCACATCAAGCACGGAGGCAAGCTGTGTGATAGCTGCCTGGCCGAGAAGCAGAGGAGGCTACCTTTCCCAAAGGCGGCCAAGTATCGCGCGAAGGAAGCTCTCGAGCTAGTTCACGGCGACCTCTGCGGGCCGATCACGCCTGCTACATGCGGTGGTCGGCGGTACTTCCTCCTACTCGTGGACGATTGCAGTCGTTACATGTGGCTGCAACTCCTGACGAGCAAGGACGAAGCAGCGGTGGTGATCAAGAAGTTCAAGACGCGCGCGGAGGCCGAGAGCGGCAAGAAGCTCCGCGTACTGAGGACTGATCGGGGTGGTGAATTCACTTTGGTGGAGTTTGCTACGTACTGTGCGGATCAGGGTGTGGGACAACATCACACCGCGCCGTACTCGCCACAACAGAATGGCGTGGTGGAGCGACGGAACCAGACAGTGGTCGGCATGGCCCGATCCATGATGAAGGCCAAAGGGATGCCGACAAAGTTCTGGGGAGAGGCGGTGACCACGACGGTGTTCATCCTCAACCGCGCTCCAACCAAGGCCCTAACGGGCAAGACGTCGTTCGAAGCTTGGTATGGGAGCAAGCCGAATGTGTCATTCCTTCGGACATTCGGTTGCATCGGCCACGTCAGGAAGACGAAGCCGAACCTCACCAAGCTGGAGGACAGGAGCACACCCATGGTGTTCCTGGGCTATGCGGAGGGTACCAAGGCGTACCGGCTCTATGACCCACGCGGAGACAAGGTGACTATCTCGCGCGACGTTGTGTTCAACGAGGAGGCGGCTTGGGACTGGAATAGTCCGAGCACGGGGGAAGCAGGAGGCTTCCCCAACACCTTCGTCGTCGAGCACTTGGTCATCCACGGCGGTGGAGACGCTGCGGAACAGGTGCCACGCACTCTGGGAGGAGCGCCGAGCACTCCGGCGGTAGAGTCGAGCACTTCTGGGGCAGTGCCGAGCAC